AGAGCTTACATTCTAGTGGGAGGAGACAGTCATTAAAAAATTGTGAGGGGTGTCCTATGCTGACAGATATCAATATCATGGAGAAAATATGGCGAGGGGGGAAATGGAATGGGGTGTGTGTAGGGGGGTGGCATTTGAAATTTTGAATGGGTGCTCAGGATGTCACTGAAATGGTATTTGAGTCAAGACCTGAAAGAAATGAGGAACAAGCTAGTGGGCTATCTGGGGGTGAGGATGGTGATGGTGGGGGTTAGAGACCTCTTGGCATCAGGGGACGGGACTTGGGGAATCTAGTTGTTGGTCCCGCCCCCCCCCCCTTTCTGCCCATTATCCATGTTGGACATTCAGCTATAGGGACACACTCCCAAAGGTGGGCGAATGGTACTTAGGAGAGAAGGGATGAGGCCAAAGATGCTGAGGGAGAGCCTTATGCTAATTAACAATTATCCAATACTTAGTATGTCCCAATCAGTATGCTAAGTACTCTTTGCATATGAAAGGACTATTCGCATTTTCCTTTCCATTTTGTGAATGGGACACCAAGATACAGTAAAGTTTAACTCTGCCCAGGTCCACACAGCCATCAAGCAGAGAAGCTAGGAACTGAACCCAATGTTGAGTCTATGACAAGTTGACACTTAGCTGCTGTGTCACACCTTTCTCCCAGAAGCAAAGTAGGGGGTGGCTTTCCCCCCTCAAAATTTATTGAGATATAATTGACATATAACATTGTGTAAATTTAAGGTATATAACATGTTGATTTGATATACTTATAAATTGCAAAATGATTGCCATTACAGTGTTGGCTAACACCTCCATCACATCACATAATTACCATTTCTTTTTGTGGTGAGAACTTTTAAGATCTACTCTCCTAGCAACTTGCAAGTATATAGTACAGTATTATTAACTATAATCACCATGCTGTACATTAGATCCCCAGATCTTATTCATCTTATAACTGGAAGTTTGTACCCTTTGACCAACATCTTCCCATCCTACTCTCCCAACCCCTGGTAACCACCACTCAATTCTCTGTTTCTATGAGCTCAGCTTTTTTAGATTCTACATATAGGTGATATCATCAGCATGTCTCTTTTGGGATCTAACTTATTTTATTTAGCATAATGCCCTCAAGTTTCATCTATGTTGTTGCAAATGGCAGGGTTTCCTTCTTTCATGGCTGAATGAAATTTCACAGTATATATACACCACATCTTCTTTATCCATCCATCAGTTGATGAACACTTAGGTTGTTTCCATATCTTGGCTATTGTGAATAATGATGCAATGAACATGGAGTACAGCTCCTTCTGAGTTCCTATTTTCATTTGTTTTGGACATATACCCAGAAGTGGGATTGTTGGATCATATGGTAATTCTGTTTTTAATTTTTTGAGGCACTTCCATATGGTTTTTCACAGGACTGTACCAATGTAAATTTGAGATAGGGGGTGGATTGATTGTTATAGAAGGCACAGTCTTCCAAGTAGTCAATTTTGGGACCCTGAGCTACTCATGTGGGAGGGAACCCACATTTATTGAGCTCTTACTGATAGCCAAGCACTTACTAATTTTCCTTTATTCTTCACAACAACCCTTTGAGAGAAGTATAACCATTCTCCATTGACTGGTGAGAAAACCATGATTTAGAGCAGTGATGGCGAACCTATGACACGCGTGTCAGAGGTGACACGCAAACTCATTTTTTTGGTTGATTTTTCTTTGTAAAAATGGCATTTAAATATATAAAATAAATATCAAATATATAAGTCTTTGTTTTACTATGGTTGCAAATATCAAAAAATTTCTATATGTGACACGGCACCAGAGTTAAGTTAGGGTTTTTCAAAATGCTGACACGCCTAGCTCAAAAGGTTCGCCATCACTGATTTAGAGAGTGTTTGTATATTCTGAGGTCACATGATCAGTACACATGTGGCAGATTAATGAGCAGTCACAGCTGGAGATTGAAAAGTAAAGCTTTATGCTTTCTTTTACTCCTGTCCACAAGCCTGCATCTAGGGCTTCCCACTGTCACTATAACCTGATATTCAAGGCTAGGGAACAAGGAAGTCACTCAGGGTGATTGACATTTAGGATCCTCAACCTAGAGAAAGGTTCTGAATTTCTTTTTATTTATTTTATACATATATTTTTGGGGGTAGGTGGTTATTATACATCTAAGGTTTTAATCTTTTCCCACCAAAATGCACTCCCAAATGCACAAAACACACAATTTCAAGGGATTCCGTGAGATTAAGACAGTGGTTCTCAACCTTCCTAATGCCACGACCCTTTAATACAGTTCCTCATGTTGTGGTGACCCTCAACCATAAAATTATTTTCGTTGCTACTTCATAACTGTAATTTTGCTACTGTTATGAATCATAATGTAAATATCTGATATGCAGGACATATTTTCATTGTTACAAATTGAACATAATTAAAGCATAGTGATTAACCACAAAAACAATATGTAATTATATATGTGTTTTCTGATGGTCTTAGGCGACCCCTGTGAAAGGGTCATTTGCCCCCCAAAGGGGTCGCGACCCACAGGTTGAGAACCGCTGGATTAAGATATCTGAGGTAGAGACAGCTCTGAAAACTGATTTATTTCCTATTTTAATTAAACTGGCTTAAGTTGTTTTTTGATATCCTATATAATAAAAGGCTAATATGCAAATTGTCCCCTTCAGGAGTTAGACTGCTTGCTATGACATGTGCTGATCACCAGGGGGGCAGTGTGAAATGAAGGGAGGCCCCAGCCGGCAGTGGGGGCAAGGAAGGCCCTGATTGGCCCTGATTGCCAGCCAGGCCTAGGGACCCTACCCATGCATAAATTTCATGCACCAGGCCTCTAGTTTTAAAATAAGAGATTCACAGATTTATGGTGACTTCACTCTTCAAGAACTATTATAACCCTCACTTGTCCATTTTTCATTTTGGAGGTGGCCCAGGAGGCAGTGGCAAGTAGTATGCTCCCACAGCTAGTCAGGTGCAGAGCTGGTTATCAAACAGGGGTTCCGTGGCTTACAGAGCTGCACTCCTTCCTCTGCTCCAGAGGGAAGCCACACAGGACAGCTACTCATGACTTACACAGCAGAGTGTGAGACTGGGACAACTCTCTGCCAAGGGTCTTTATGAAGACGGGAGATTGTCCTTGGTCCTGGGTGGCTTATGTATTGCCTGTCTGAAGCTAGGGGTTGGGCCAGATCGCCTAGATCAGGGGTCCTCAAACTACGGCCCGCAGGCCACATGCAAATACAAATATTGTATTTGTTCCCGTTTTGTTTTTTTACTTCAAAATAAGGTATGTGCAGTGTGCATAGGAATTTGTTCATAGTTTTTTTTAAAACTATAGTCCGGCCCTCCAACGGTCTGAGGGACAGTGAACTGGCCCCCTGTTTAAAAAGTTTGAGGACCCCTGGCCTAGATCTAGCTAATCAGCTTCCCTTGCTGGGGTGAAGTGACCCCCGAAGGCAACCTTGCTGTCCTTTCTCCCTTTCATCCACAATGGTGGTAGGAGCCCAGTGTCACACACTCAGTTCCCACCATTTTCGTTCCTCTTCAGATCAAGGATGATGGTGCTTCTCTTGAACTGGTTTATTCCCAAGGGGGAGTGGGAGGAGGAAGAGAATGCCAGTAAGTCGGCAGAAGCTGGCAATTAACACAAAGCCAGAGATGTGGGAGAGGAAGAGTGGGACAGAACGGAGAGCAAGCCCTGAGCCCACATTTCGATGGTGGTGGCCCATTTCCCACTTCCCTGGGAACTAATCTCACCAGCTATTGAACAGCCAGCAACACACCATTGAATTTACAGAGGCTGTGTCTACATAATCACAGTAACCAGCTGCAGTGCGAAAACTCAGCCTATCAGATATTTTTCTGTGGTGGCAAAAGGCCAGGAAAAGGAAAAGAGCAAATCTGAGATTCAGAGTTGGTTTATACTTGTTTTGAAAAGAGAAAAGTGTGTTACCTAGATGAGACCTTATGTCTTCATTCAAGTGTCAGGATGTGGAAGAGATTATTGAGCCACATCCAGAGGTTCAAAATCCTTGTAGATTTCAGACATGTTGTCATTTACCAGTGTCTTTCATGAAGACAAAACAAAAATCCCACCATAAGGCAGACCGGTATTAGCTTTAATAGCAGCCACGTACCAGGACCCCACTGAAGCTAATGGTCCTTTCCTTGCTGTTCCTCCCCTCTCTTCCTTGGAGATGCCTCTTAACCCTCCTGGCTGATATCTGACCGATGGAATTGACCGTTTGTTTAGGTGTCATGAGGATACAGACGCTATTTTATTTTCTCGGTACTCCCTGGGGCAAAGCCAAGCACAGAGCTCTGACTCACTCGAGGCTTGGGGAAGAAGAACCTTTTCATTATCGGTGATTACATTAGAATCCTCTGATGTTGCAAACTCCGATTTCTGGGAGCCCTCTAGGTGAAGCTGCCACTGAGTTTGACCTCTGGGGAGACCAAGGCAATGGGAGACTCAGAGATCTGCTTCGAGGGTCTATGGGAGGAGAGCTCTCACATGGGATCATGCAGTTTTGCATGGTTCTCCCTCTCCAGCTCTCTCCAGTTTTACATTCAAGCAGCTATATACAGGGGC